ATAGATAGATAGATAGATAGATAGATAGATAGATAGATAGATAGATAAATAGTGAAGTAATTTTGGAGAAAAGGGGACCACTAGATACCCCACATGGTAAAAATTAAATTAAACAAAGATCTTGAATCTTCAAAAATTTATCACAAAATGGATATTAGACTTAAATGTACCAAACTCCTAAGAGAAATCAAAATAAATAAAGTTAGGTGATTCTACATTTATTTCATGATGACTTTTTAGATTCCAAAAGTAAGATCTATGAAAAAATTGGGGATAGAGAGATGGCTCAGCAGCTATGAGCACTGACTGCTCTTTCAAAGGACCCAGAGTTAATTCCTAGCACACACACATGGTGACTTATAACCATACATAAGTTCAGTTTCAGGGATCCCTCTTCTGGCCTCTGTAGCTTTCAGACATGCACATGAAACACAAACATACAGGCAGACAGACAAAATACCAAAAAAAAAATCATAAAAAGAAAAAAAATTAAAGAATAAATGGTGAATTGAGCTTCAATAAAATTATAGCTCTGCTTTGAAAAGACACTTATTATGGTTTGATTGGACCTGTGCTCCAGTAAGAGAACAATTCTGGGTGTGTATAAGGATTAACTGAACAGAGAAAAACCATCCTCCAAAGCAGTGATCCTGAAATAAAGAGGTCTGAGTAAAAGTACTGTTTTGTCCACTCACCTTCACTGCCTCCTGGTGAACACATCTACCCTGTTGCTGCTGTGGCCGTCATTTTATGTTGACAGTGGAACCCAGCTTCTTGGCCATCTAACATGGACTGAAGACCGGAAACTCTTCAGAAAACCTTCAGTACAATATTGGGGTTTCAGAGGCATCTAGCCTCATTGATTGAGCAGCTACTAGGTTCCCAGCCTCTCCAACAAACAGAGCCATTGTTGGACTAGACAGTCCACATAGTATAAGTTAATGTAATACATTCCTTTTTAATATATACTCATCCCATTGATTCTGTTCCTTCACAGAACCCTTACCAATACAGTGACCTACCATCATCATCCTCTCGTTTTCTACTTCATTGAGCAGTTCAGCAAATTCCTTGAATGATTCCGCTAGTAAGAGAGAATAAAAATAAAGCAAATTAGTAATGGTACATATTGATCAGTAGGCAAAGATTCCTACAATGGGATGTATGAATCAGTGCCTTAATTTCAGAGAGCTGCTAGAGAATGACATCAAATCTAAGGTGAGCAGGACAGGTTCAATAGCTACTGAATATTTCTACTCTTTCTTTCGTTTTCTTCTAATCCCCAACTACAGAGTTTTTTCACAGATAATACTGTATTTAATCCTGCTGGTCACACACACACACACACACACACACACACACACACACAGGCACATAGGGTTTGTCTCATTGTATGAGCAAATAAAAATGTTAGGATCATAAGTTGAAGGTGACCCTTAGCTACACAATGAAATCAAGGCCAACCTGTCTACAGTATCTCAGTGTGTCTCAGAAAACAAAGCAAGTTATAAAAGCTCTTTCCTTTAATCTTAAATCCAAATCTATCTCCCTGCATTGTGTTTTTAAGTTATCTCTACTGAAGTACCTTAGGATAGATTTTACAGGATCACAGATGAGCAAGGAACAGGAATATTAGAAGCAAGGAATACTAGAGAAAACAGCACATGAGTTGTTAGATAAAAAGGATTTTAGTTTAGTAAACAATATAGAAAAAAGAGGAGAAACACGAATTTTAGGAAGAAGTAGGCCTGGATTGGAAGTTTTGTTCTATGGTTTTCTTCCTGAGTAATTCTGTGCAAATGATTTACTCCTCTAAGCTTCAGCTGTCTTAATTATCAACAAGTAAAATCATCTATTTAGTGTGTAGCTCTCTATAAAAAACAAATTATGTTGCAAATGTGGAGTAGCTAAAACTAATATTTCTGCTACTTACTGGCAGTAGAACAGCAATTCACTTCTCCACCCTGAATTTCATTTTTTTTCCTTACATACAAAATAAACTGAATAGATTTCTTTGTGTCTTCAAATTCCACAACTTCCCACCACAAGCACCAAGAACATTCTAAAACAGAATCTCAATTGCAGAAAACATAGAAGCCTGGGAAAACAAATGTGTACAGCTATCTATCTATCATCTATCTATCTATCTATCTATCTATCTATCTATCTATCTATCTATCTATCTATCTAT